TAATAAATAACCAATCTCGCAATTTGGTTATTTAATAAATAACCAATTTCGCATTTTGGTTATTTAATAAATAACCAATTTCGCATTTTGGTTTTAATAAATAACCAATTTCGCATTTTGGTTATTTATTAAATAACCAATCTCGCATTTTGGTTATTTAATAAATAACCAACCTCGCATTTGGTTATTTAGAAATAACCACTTTTTAATTTTTGTTTATTTGCTAAATAACCAAATTTCAGTTTTGGTTATTTGTAAATAACCAATTTTATATTTTGGTTATTTAGAAATAATAAAACTGTAATGTGGTTATTTGTAAATAACCAACATTGTTTTGGTTATATACAAATAACCACTCTAAATAATAAAAATACATTTGGCGCCCCATAGCCTCTTACCTTGTACAAGACGTTCGCATGGCAGACATTCGCCTCGCTTCGCTTGTTTACTTGCCTTGTTTACGTTAGCACGTATTGCGTGCCTATTGCACATTTGCGTCAAAACAAGCCGTTTCCATTACTCTATTTGGGCCACGCCCAAATAATAATTCATACATTGTGGTATCAGTCCTATGTTTACAGTTAAAAATTCAGAAAAAATTTGATCATGGCTAGTAAGCCTGTAAAAACTTATTGCCCAAAGATGCCCTTCCGCTGAAAAATGTAACTTGTAATTGAATTAAAAAGACAACAGCTGCACTGGTAGTATTCATAATTCATTTTTATACAACTAATGCAGATAACATGTAGATCTCAAAAGGTGGCGCTTAGACTGCTATGTCAACGATAACAAACAAATACTTAATAATTTAACTGCAGAGAAATTTTGCAGAATGCCAAATATCCGCTGAATGTCCTCTTACTCTAAAGTTTAGTGATTATGGCTTATTGAATCAAGTCCCATTTTAATCAGTGATCGTGATTAATTACCAAAGTAATGTGACCTTTGTGAAATTATACAATTTTTTTAGATTCAGTTCTCAGGCCTAATAGCATTTAGCTTAGGGCCGGTGAAAACAGAAACAGTTGGAGAACAAAGGCTGTTCTTTTGATTTTTCTCTCTTGATATGATTTAACTCATGTTTTAGTACAGAACCAGTCAAAGTTGTAGCTTGCATTCATGCAATTTTTTTTATCATATTAGTTTCAAATAATTAGCACCCCCTTCAAATAAACGCCCCCTTTTAGGCTGACAATATCAAATAAGCCAGTGGCACCCAATGACTGTTTTCTGTAAAATATCTGTTTGGAGAAGTAAAAATTGCCTAGAATTTTCCATATCTTGAGGAAGGCTAAAAATTTCTTGATGACCGTTCCATTCATGTACAATTTTCAAAGCTTATCCAATAAATTCGCTACAATCCTCTGAAGTTTAATTTTTGACATTTCACTCCCCAGGTTAAGCTATTTTTCGCAGAAAAAGCGAAAATTTTCGGAATCGAAAATGCGGTTGAAAAAGGAATCAGAAAAAATTTCACTTTCGTAAAACTTTAAATTGCATCTAAAATTTTCGGGAAAATAATACTGAAGTCCTAGTAATTTGGAAAAGACTCAAGTTGCCATAGGATGACTGAACAGTTATAAATTTTATAGTGCCGGTTAGATTGTATCTCTGAAGGTCAAAAAGTACTCTGGATAGCCGAAAAAGTGATTTCAGTGCATTTAGGAGGAAACCGTTGTTGGGTGCCCCTGATAAGCACCCCTTTTAAACAGCCCTTACTGAATATATGGTGTAAAGTATGTTCATCGTCAATGAATATAACATAACGACTATTTACAGAAAACCGACACATACCGACCGATTACCAGACCAGTCTTCGTACAACCCGACCTCTCACAAGGCTACTACTATCCGGACTCTGACGAGACGAGCGCAACTATTTTGCGACTCACCTGACAGCCTAAAAGACGAGACTGATTATCTTAACAACGTTTTTAGTAAGAACAATTACAACACGGACTTTGTTAGACGGAATACTCACAGTAACACTGATTCCAACACTCAGACCAACTCTGGCCCTGTTACGACAGCGACTATAACGTACATCAGAGGCACCTCTGAAACTTTGGCACGTATATTACAACCTTACAATATGCGTGTTGCACACAAAGCGATATAACCACTTTACGGAGACTGATATACTAATGTCAAGGACAAAGACAAACCGGAGGACAGACAGGGAGCAATATACAAGATCAAATGCTGCGACTGCCAGGCTTCTTACGTTGGTGAAACCGGCAGAAACCTAAGCACGCGACTGACCGAACACAACGAGCGACGAGGAAAGGTGACGTCAACAATCACATTGCTGAGCACCATTTAAAGACGAAACATCAAATTGACTGGGACTCTGCGACATGTATAACGTATTCTACAGACTACTATCTAGCTGGTTTACTAACTTAGAACAAACGCCACTGAATCGTAGCCAACAGTTACCAGCGCCGTACAAACGACTTATTGACGAGATCAAGCAAAACTAACTACGAGAGAATGACAATTTGACTAACAATAGGCGACTGTTTAACTGTGACAATAGACGGATCAAAACGCACCAATCATTTGAAACCTGAGACAAACGTAATCTTGAGTCCCAAATTCTGAACAATGAATAAGCACCCCCTTCTGGATCCACAGTCTCGGTTGAAGTTGTTGGGACGCTTTGCTGTCTTCCTACCCTCTCGTTATTGGTGTACAAGATTTGATGAGTTTACTGCAATAAACAACATTGAGAGGATGAGGAGACGGGCCAGAAGCAAAAAAACAGCATTGGGTGGAAGTGTCCCAACTATTTTTGTCTGAGATTGTAGCTCCCCCCTTTCTACTGAGAAAAATTAAGTTATTTGGGGCAGTCATTCAAATATTTCCCTCTCTCTAGTATTGCTAAATACTACAGTAATTTTTCGTGGTATAAGCATATTTTTCTATTGTTTGTCCTTTTTTCACTCCTTTCAACCTTTTTTTCTTTAATCCTTTTCCTTCTCTTTTTTCTTGTCCTTTTCACACCTGAAAATTTTTATCTGCATTAATGATTATTTTCTATGTTTATGTTTTTTATGGCGTAACTTAAGTGATTGTCTTGAGCTACACCAGTGTTTATTATGTGAAATTTGCTGATGATTTAACTTTAAATATTCGTGTAAAATCAGGTGCTAGCAACAGTAACTCAGCAGCTAATGAGGTCCAATCTATTGTCGAATGGACATTTGTTAACCGTATGCAACTAAACTTGAAGAAAACGTGGGAGATTCTTCTTAAAGGCAAATCCACTAAGGCTTTACCAGTTCCTCTGGCTTTTATAGAACGGAAACCCAGTCTAAAGTTGCTGGGTTTAACTTTTCAGTCCAATCCATGTAACTGGGATTTATATTCGGATAATATCCTATTGAAAGCTTGTAGTCGTTTGTACATTGGATCATCTTCATCTTCTTTTTACTATTGTCTTATTCTACCTATATTTACATATGCTGTGGAAGTATGGGGCTGCACGTATTATCATAAGTACTTGAGTCGCATAGACAGGCTGTTCAAGAGAGCTTTTAAGCTTGGTTACTGTAAAGAACTTTTTTTCATATGAAAATATTATTGCCCTGAAAGATAAGAACAAGTTATGGGATAAGATCACCGACAGCAATTCAACAACAGCTTTGGATGACCTTCTGCCACCGGAGCGAACTATGGTTACGTTACGTAAGAGGCGTCGTAACGGTATTCTCCCGCCTGTCAGAACTGAGCGTTTCAAGATAACTTTAGTGAATAGATGTTTGTTCTCTAGTTAGTTAGTTAGTTACCTAGTTAGCTAATTAGTTACCTGTACGACTAAATTTGTATAATTGTAACTAAACACATCTGTTGTTTAGAGTGTTTAATAAAGACCTTTGTTATTATTATTATTATTATTATTATTATTATTATTTCTTTATTTAATCATGTGTTTTTTAAAGGTAGTAGTTCTTTTTCTCATTGGGTTCCATAGGCTTCCTTGCCTCGTCATGTATTTAAATATTCTATAATAATATTATAATATATACTATAATAATTTTAGTAAGGTGATTTTACTTCTTCCGTGAAACGTTATCTAACAACAAGTGTTAGATAGTTCATTTTCATTCATTCATTCATTCATTCATTCATTCATTCATTCATAGTTTATTTGGTCAAGCGCAAAGGTTAAGTTATTAAAAGGCAGCTAAAGCTGATGTGGACCTGCTGATAAACTATCTATTGATGACATACAAATAAAATAAAAAATATACAGAAAATAGGTACATTGTATATAAGAGGAGTAAACTAATATGATACTAGCTAATTGTGTGGATTGCATGCTGTTTCACTGTTTTTATGATTCTTAAAACTTAGTTTCAAAATATTTCCAAAACGCTCTCATAGAATTTGTTCAAACTTGCCATAATTGAGGCGATTTTGGCAGGTGCATACTCCAATATAAATAAAATTCGTAATGGCGTCATTACGTTTCCATGGCGACTCCGATGGCAAAAAAACCCAGATCATAAGAAATTTTCATCTTTATATAATAATAATAATATTGTGGTAACCTTTTCCCCATATTCATGTCGACGTAGTTAATGCTCAAACTTGGGAGGTATCCCCCTTAATAATACCAGTCGAGCCACCTTAAATTAAATTCATCAGTGTTAGCCAGCATACTGTTTAAAGCATTTCTTTAGTTGTGTTTGTCTGTGGAGGCAGTATCAGTATCAGTTTCTAAGTTTCTAAGTTTCAAATTAATTTTCGAGATTTTTCTCCCAGGGGAAAGTGTCTCGTCCATTCTTTATGAGACAGTTCCAGATGATTTAAAAGACTTTGATTCTTAAGCGAATGCAAAGATGAGGATGGTCAGGAACTTCATGCTGCTGCAAAAACTGGATGTATTAAGATCATAAAGGTATTGTCTCAAGGATTTGACATTGATTCAAGGGACAGGAATGGTGCTACTCCATTGATGTGGACAGCTCTTTAAAGCCAAAAAGGTCCTTTACATGTTGCTACAAAACGATGGTGATCCATCTCTAAAAGCGAACGATGGATTCAGTCTGGTCCACTGTGCTCTAAAAGGTGGAAATACATCCATTATCAACGAGCTGTTGTCACGTGGTCTTGAAGCTGATTCAAGGAGCAATGATTACTCTACTCCACTGATGGCTGCAGCTATTGGAGACAAACAAAATATTTTTCAGATGCTGATACAAAAGGGTGCTGATCCATCTTTGAAAGCCAGTGGTGAGTTCAGTCTGCTCCACTGTGCTGCAGAAGGTGAAATTAACGTCCATTATCAACTATCTGTTGTCACGTGGTCTTGATGTTAATTCAAGAAACAATATTTTGGTTACTCCACTGATGACTGCAGCTATTGGAGACAAAGAAAGTGCTTTTGAGATGTTGATACAAAGCGGTGCTGATCCATCTTTGAAAGACAACAAAGAGTTCAGTATGCTCCACTCTGCTGCACAAGGTGGAAATACACCCATTATCAACAAGCTGTTATCACTTGGTCTTGACATTGATTCAAGAGACGATATTGGTGTCACTCCACTGATGATTGCAGCCTATTAGAGACAAACAAAGTGCTTTTGAGATGTTGATACAAAGCGGTGCTGATCCATCTTTGAAAGCGAAAGGTGGGGTGAGCCTGCTCCACTTTGCTGCTGAAAGGCAAAGGTTAGACAAGTCAATCCTTTGGACACTTTTAAAGCACTTCTTCAGAGCTTACTGTACATAAATTTATGTATTTTCCATATTCTTTGTATCTCTATCACCATTGGACTAAGAGAGTTGGGTGCTATAAAAATGTTTTCTACTATACCCTTACCGTAACAAAATATCGTAATGAGTATTTTTGTAGCATAATAAATTGTTCTTTTATTAGTATTCCTTATTTTTTTAATGCACCGCACAGGGTCCGCCGGTTTTTACCGTCGTTGAAACCGCTCGAAAGGTCGGCTTTTGGATTTTTTTACGGTGGTAAAATCACTTTATCACATCAGTTGATAAAACAAACATTTTGCATCTGGGCATCAGGGTCACTGTGGACACAACGAACCGATGATTAAGTTTTAAAGGAGCTGCATCAGAACTTTTTGGTCTTGGTTTAATTATATCCAGGTGCCTTGAGAAAAAATAGTGAAATAATCTATGGAGAGCGGTTACAACGAACTCACATATGCTTTTTTTCACATTTATTTCATACATTCATATTCAGTGCAATAGACTGCTTTTGTCCGTTTCATTTCAACAGATGATTCTTTGAACGCGTTGAGCTCCTTAGGAAAAAAACCCAAGGCTTCCCAGGGGACAGAAGACATGACTGAGAACTATGCAGGTATGTTCATAATGAATAATGAATATTATGTGAATGATATCGCCTGCGAAGAAATGTTCTTAAGTCTGTGGAAGTAATTTTTCTCCCTGACATACTTTCACACTCATATACTTGACAATTATTCCTCGAGCCCGAATGGGCTCTGAGTCAATAGCCTATGAGGCCGAAAGCCGAATGGGCTATTGACTCAGAGGTCATGAGTGCGAGAGGAATAATTGTTTTAGTAAAATCCAACTAGTTGGTCAAAAATATCGAGAATAAAAAATTTTAGCTCGTTAAAAGCTAGACTTTAATCCTTTTTTGCCGCCCAAAAGCCCGCGCTTTTCGCTAGTAGGGGGCTATAACATATAGCCTAGCAGTAGCTCAACCAATCAGAAAGCAGCATTGATAATACACCACTAGCTGGATTTTACTAAAGACAAAAATTCGTGGAGGTTTACGAAAAAACGTATTTAGAGTTGGGGTTTTGGTCTTCCTCAACTGGGGGTGGACTCCACTCTTCCTCAATTTGTTAAAAAAAAAAAATTGACTTTCAGGGTCTGACATCCTGCATGGATGGGGAAAAAGGTAAAAAGGAAAGAGAGGAATCCCGCGCAGACGCGTGACCCAAATTACTTTAAAAGTGTGATTTTTGCCCGGTTCAGGCGCTAAAGTTTTCATGAGTCGAACCTAATTCGAATTAAGGCCGACCCAAATTATTTAGACCGGCTGTATTGATTCAGTCACCGATCTTAATTCCAACCAAACTAAACTGAAAAGGAGGAATTAATCTTCCTATAAAATACGTTATAGTATTTCATGCATTAAAAGGTTCAGCTCATGAAAACTGAGTTCGGCTTCTGAACTGGGCCTAAGCATTGACAAATCTGCGGAAGATGCCTGGGCCCCAACGTATTTTTCAGCCAATCTGAAGTGTGAGCGAAAGAGAAAAACAATTTTCCAGGCTGTTGCATCTAACATCTTCTTTGAAACAAGCTAGATAACCTTATACAGGTTTATCAGTCTATAGGGATGCTGCTCAAACAGAGAATGGTAAAAGGGAAATGGAAAATGTGAATTGAGACATTTCCTATTTATCTTGCATTTAAAAAAAATGCTGATTGTGACAGCAAACAGAGAATGGTGAAAGGGGAATGGGAAATATGAGTAAACAGAATTGGGACATTCCTTATTTAGGTTGCAATTTTAATATAAAAGCTGTTTGTGACACCACAAACAATGAGAACAAAAAATGTGAACAGAAAATTTTTTTCTTTTTGCAACCTTGTTCATATCTGAGATAAAAAAAACTTGAAATGAATGTATAGAAATTGACTGAATTTACCTTTTCCTCATCTGGTGCCCTCTAAAAATATGCAACTGGCATATACGTGCAGTACTACACCAATCTTCAGGTTGCATATGATTGTTTTGAATACTCCAAAAAATCCCTACTTAAATCAAGGCAAAATACTTGCCACATTTTCCTACACTCAAAAATCCTGGAATGGAAAATTAAAAGCCAAAAATTTCCTTTGATCCTCCCCATCACTCTAACACCGCAGTACCCCCCTGAGCTAAAAGCTCTCTAATAGCGCAGATGTAAACTAAAGAGAGGGGTATTTATTTAAAATTCATCAGTGTTAGCCAGCATACTGTTTAAAGTACTTCTGTACATGTAGTTGTGTTTGTCTGTGCAGGCAATATCCAATATATTTGTTTCTGGGTTTCAAATTAATTTTTGAGATTTTTCTCCCAGTGGAAAGTGTCTTTCGTCCATTCTTAATGAGACCGTTCCAGCTGATTCAAAAGACTTTGATTCTAAATCTGAATATAAAGATAAGGATGGTCAGGAGCTTCATGCTGCTACAAAAACTGGATGCATTGAGATCATTAAGTTATTGTTGTCTGAAGGATTTGAAATTGATTCAAGGGACAGGAATGGTGTCACTCTATTGATATGGACAGCTCTTTGTGGCCAACAAGGTGCTTTTCAGATGTTGCTACAAAGCGGTGCTGATCCATCTCGAAAAGTGAACCACGGATTCAGTTTGGTCCACTGTGCTGTAAAAGGTGGAAATACATCCATTATCAACGAGCTATTGTCACGTGATCTTGACGCTGATTCAGGGAGCAATGATGACTTTACTCCACTGATGACTGTAGCTATTGGAGACAAAGAAAGTGCTTTTGAGATGATGATACAAAGCGGTGCTGATCCATCTTTGAACGACAACAAAGAGTTCAGTGCGCTCCACTCTGCTGCAGAAGGTGGAAATACATCCATTATCAACAAGCTGTTATCACTTGGTCTTGTTGATGATTGAATTAAGAGACGATATTGGTGTCACTTCACTGATGACTGTAGCTATTGGAGAAAAGAACGTACTTTTGAGATGTTGATACACAGCGGTGCTGATCCATCTTTGAAAGACAACAAAGAGTTCAATGTGCTCCACTCTGCTGCAGAAGGTGGAAAAACGTTCACTATTAATGAGCTGTTCCTATGTTGAATGTTGATTCAAGGGACAATGATGGCGTCATCACTGATGATTGCCGCTGATTATGACAAAAAAAATGCTTTTGAGATACTGATACAAAACGGTGCTGATCCATCTCTGAAAGCGAAAGGTGGGCTCAGTCTGCTCCACTTTGCTGCTGAAAGGAAAAGATTAGACAAGTCAATTCTTTGAAAGTTTTTAAAGCACTTCTAAGCTTACTGCACATAAATTTGTGTATTTTTCATATTCTTTGTATCTCTATCACCATTGGACGTAAAGAGTTTGGTGCTATAAACATTTTTCCTACTATACCCTTACCGTAACAAAATATTGTAATGAGTATGTTGATAGCATAATAAATTGTTCTTTTATTGGTATTCCTTACTTTTGTTATGTACCGCAGAGGGTCCGCGTGTGTGTGTGTGTGTGTGTGTGTGTGTGTGTGTGTGTGTGTGTGTGTGTGTGTGGGGGGGGGGGGGGGGGGCCCCTTTTTTTAGGGGGGGAAAAAAAAAAAAAATAAAAATTTAAACAAAAAAGAAAAAATAGACCATTTTCATTGTTTTTTTTTTTTTTTTTTTTTTTTTGTAAAAAATGAAATGTGCGCGCACAGTTTATAATATTTTTTTTAAAAAATTTTTAACAAAACATAACATTTAAAGAAATCTCTTACGATTTCTTTATGTGTAGTAATATATGTGTTTTTATGTGTTTTTGTAAATTATGTTTTTTTTTGTTTTTTTTTTGTGTTTGTGTTTTGTGGTGGGGGGGGGGGGTGGTGGGGGTGGTGGGGGGGGGGGGGGTGGTGGTTTGGGGTGTGGGTGTGGGGGGGGGGGGGGGGGGGTCCCCTTTTTGAATGGACGATATAGAAAAAATCTAATAATTGCAACTGAACAGATGCAATAGACCTCATTCACTGGTATTTGTTTTCAATGTATTGTCTAGTCAGAAATGAGAACTGCGTGCCAACGTTATAATATCTAGTTCCATAAGTATGTAACTAAACAATACATTTACGAGAACAAAATATCCAAATGGATAATGTCTACTGTACCTGACACACTAAAAGTTTGTTGTAGCAGGACTTAAACCTGTTAAATTTGGCCAGTCGGATTTCGTTCTTACTAAACATCCAGCGACTGATACTCTGATGGTCCGAGAAAGTTGAGCGAACGTCTTCCGACTGTCTTCGATTCGTTGATAGGGGCTGGACTGAAACAAAAAAATTGGCTTTATCAACTGCGTTGAGAACATGAATTTACCGTCGTTAAAACCGCTCGAAAGGTCGGCTTTTGGATTTTTTTACGGTGGTAAAATCACTTTATCACATCATTTGATAAAACAAAAATGTTGCATCTGGGAATCAGGGTCACTGTGGACACAACGAACCGATGATCAAATTTTCAAGGAGCTGCATCAGAACTTTTTGGTCTTGGTTCAGATATATCCGGGTACCTTGAGAAAATGATAGTGAAATAATCTATGGAGAGCGGTTAACAACCAACTCACATATGCTTTTTTCACATTTATTTCATACATTTATATTCAGTGCAATAGACTGTTTCGTCTGTTTCATTTCAACAGATGATTCTTTGAACTCATTGAGCTCCTTAGGAAAAAAACCCAAGGCTTCCCAGGGGACAGAAGATATGACTGAGAACTATGCAGGTATGTTCATAATGAATAATGAATATTATGTGAATGATGTTGCCTGCGAAGAATGTTCTTAAAGGAGCTGTGTCACGAAATACAGCCAA